TCCTGGAATTCAACAACATGTCTGGTTAGTGAATTCTTGGAACTGAAGTCCAGCTATCTTGAAGTTGCCAAGGTTGAGAAAGACTGTTCAATGTGATCTTGTGGCAAACAAAATCTGGATTTATTTTGAATTTCTCACACTTTCCTCTTATTTTCTGCCTTACAAATTTATTCCTTCTTTCTTCCCTGGATCATTCTAAATCAATATGCTTATATGAATATGTAAGAAACTAGACCATTTGAACGACCAATCAATAAGAGAACCAATCAGCTGCTCAAAATTTAAATATAGCTCCAAACGAACAACCAATCACACAACCAACCTGCTGATGATGTTACCTGACCTAATCTGATAACAAAATGTTCAGAAACTAAACTGAAACAAGCTTAGAGAGCAAACCACTGCCTAAATCAAAAACCCGAGCTACAAGTATTTTCTATTGTTTCAAGGTAGCCATACACAAATCTTTCACTTTGTACCAAAACCTTTACTGTTTTGTTTTTTAAATGAATATGTTCAGGACAAAGGATGTCTAACTGAAAATCCAATGTCATTTGGCCAATAAACTTTTCAGTGTGCTATTTCCCCCCCCCCCCCACCTCCTTCTAGGAACATCTCAGTTACATCCAGGAGAGCCAGGTGGATATCACATTCCCTTCAACTCTAACGCAACCGGTTGTGGTGCAGCTATGAGGTCCATGTGCATTGGGCTTAGGTAATACATGCGGGAGAAGAAAATACATGCAAAGTAGCAATGGCAGAATGATCAAAAGTCAACACAAGATCATCCTGATTCCCAGCCAATATCTCCTCCAGGTATCCTCATCCTTCTGATCTCAACACCTTGATCCAAGTCAGCATAGAAAGTGGAAGAATGACACATCACCACCCCACAGGTAAAAAGACATATGGGGCCATTGTTGCATGACTGACCGGTCTCAAGGAAAGTAAAAATAAAACAAGGTTATGTTTATGCTGGGCAGCTTTTCTACAATACAGAAAAATTGCCCTGTGGTTGGGCCTGCAGTAGTAACACAGGTTGGGCACAGAGGTGGTATTCAGCAGGTTCTGACCATTTATGGAAAACCGGTAGTGGAAATTTTGAGTAGTTCAGAGAACCGGCAAAAACCACCTCTGACTGGAGATTTTACAGTATCCTTCCCCTACCACGCCCACCAAGCCACCCCCACAGAACCGGTAGTAAAAAAAATTGAATCCCACCACTGGTTGAGCAGGTCCATAAAGCAGAATGTAGTGGTAGAGTCTAAAGCAGTACAATTGACTTTTTTGAGGTGTAGATTAAGGACCTGTTGATGTGTTGTTGGAATTTTCTGAGATTTGGTGTTGCTAAACATGAGTGATTGTTATTGTGTTGATGATATCACAAATACTGAATAATACATATTTTTCCTATCTTCATTGGTGTAATCTGAATGGGATTTCTAAAATAAATAGGGCCAAGCCACTTTCCCCCAAATTATTGTTGGAAAAATTCTGTTTGAGCTTGTTCCTAATATGTAAAATCCTAGGAAAATCAGACAATTTCTATGTGAATCTTCTTTTAGAGATTTGAAACCCTCCTTCACTTGTGCAGTAGCCAAACTCTGTGTTGCCACAATGAAAATAAGGCAAACTTGGTCTCAGGAATAAATGCTTTTGTTTTATTCATCAATTCAACTTTCAATCAATCAGTTTTTATTATAGTCATAGACCAGAATGATCAATTCAGCTTTATTATATCTTAGTTTTCTTGTTTTAGGCAATGTTGAATTGAATTGAATTCTTTAGTGTCATTGTATGTATATACACAGTACACATACAACAAAATTCACATAACACCCAGAGACCAGTCTCAACATGCACACACAAACGACAATCCCCAAACACCTCCCCACCCGCCAAAATTCCCCGCCTCCTAAAAACACACAACAGACCAAGTAATTTCCATATAACATACCAAGTAATATTGTCCAACAGCTTGCTGATGGTGATATTTAAGTTCATTGTTAAGTGCAATTATAGCTCTGGGATAAAAACTATTCAGAAAATGTGTGGTCCGAGTTTCAATTGTTCTGTATCTTCTGCCAGAAAGCAACAATTCATAAAGATTGTAAACGGGATGGGAAGAGATTCTGAGAATGTTGTGCATCTTCCTCAAATAGCGAGATGCGAAGATGTCATCCAGGGCTGGTAGCTGGAGCCCAATGATATTCTGGGCAGTTTTAATGATTCTCTGTAGAGCTTTTTTGTCTGCTACAGAGCTGCTCCGATATGTCAGGACACCCTTAAATGGTGCTGCGGTAGTAGGACAGAAGTAGATACTGAGATAGATTTATCTTTCTGAGCATTCCCAGGAACTACAGCCTCTTCTGTGGCTTTACAAGCATGTTAGCATATAGTAAAATATGTATTTTACTCCATAGATTGTAATATTTTAGATGCACTGTTTACACTTGCACTATTAATTAACATACCAGCACAGAAACATAGTATAGTTTCTATGAAATTTCTTGTCCTATGAAAATCCTTTGGGGATGAGCTTAGCTATATTGTCTGTTTCCCATTCTCTCCTTACTCGTTTGGTGCTAGGATTTTTTGTGAAACATCTTGACACACCCATTATCAAAGCCAACAAGCCAACACTTACCTGCTCTTATCTATGTGGCCACCAGAAGTGGAAAACAATTCGACAGCACATAATCATAGTAACCTATGTTACCCTTTTATTACAGAGACCCTTGTTATGTTCATATTTTATTTCACCTGTTTGATTTTACTTTTGTGTTGCATGTTTGGCTGGTCATTGAACAAAGTTGTTATACAGGCCTTACCTTTGGGAGCTTGGGGTAAATTTCAGTAATTCAATAAAAGGGGGGAAAGTGGGGGTCTATAGAGTCCTGAAAGGTATGTCCTTTCTCTACTTCCTCTGTTTAGGCTATCTGGGATCTCTGGCTTCAGCCCTCTTCACTGCATATGCTGTCCAGGGACTGCCCCTTGAGCTCTGGGGACCTGGGTTGCTGAAGACTCTGCCCGTTGCCCTGGAATACATCCAGGCTGCTGGGATTGAGACTGAAGCCAATGTAGCTGCTTGGTCCTATTTCCAAGAGAAATGGGAATGGTAAGTAGTTGGGGCAAGAGAAGGAACAAGGAATTCAGGGCTTTTGATTAAAGCTGGGAGCAATAGAATAGGAGATGAGCAGTTCAGAAATGTGATAATAGATTAGATAGATAGATAGATAGATAGATAGATAGATAGATAGATAGATAGATAAGTAGGTAGATAGGCAGATAGATAGACAGACAGACTACATAGACAGATAGACAGACAGATTAGATAGGTAGGTAGACAGGTAGGCAGATAGAAAAATAGATAGATGATAGATAGATAGATAGATAGATAGATAGATAGATAGATAGATAGATAGATAGATAGATAGATAGATAGACAGACAGACAAGATAGAAAGATAGATAGATAGATGATGATGATGATAGATAGATAGATAGATAGATAGATAGATAGATAGATAGATAGATTAGATAGGTAAGTAGGTAGGTAGGCAGATAGATAGATTAGATAGATTAGATAGGTAAGTAGGTAGGTAGGCAGATACATAGACAGACAGACTACATAGACAGACAGACAGACAGATTAGATAGGTAGGTGGGTAGGTAGGTAGATAGATAGATAGATAGATAGATAGATAGATAGATAGATAGATAGATAGATAGATAGATAGATGATAGATAGATAGATAGATGAATAATAGACAGACAGAAGCAATTTGAAGATTTTTTTTTTTAGGATCTACTTTCCCAACTTGGGGAATCCTCTGGGGATATTCCAACTAATATGGAGGAAGGGAGAAATCACCTCCTAGTTCCCTGGTTTACACGATTTTTCAGGACTCTTATGTTCCTTCATGCTTGTAGCTGCTGTGTAAGGTTATCTACCAGCAAAGGGTCAAAGTTCATTAGTGTGATAATAACTAATGATAATATAATGATATATAATGATAATAACACATTCACGCCTTTACCCCGAGCCAAGCAGGTGAAATATTGTGTGTTCACTGCTTTGAGTTATTTATAAAAATAATAAAGGCAGGATATAAATAAGTTTTCAGATACAATTCAAGGTGCTGGTTACCAACTACAGTCCCTTCTAAATCCTACCTGCATTTATCTCTATCTGCCCCATGAGATCCAGCAGGGTGTCTATGTGTCTTTCAGGAAACAAAGTCATTAAGTGGGACTCAGGAAGTGTAGTTCTCTGTCCGAACAACACCTGCTGTTTGGAACAGCATATTCATTTCCCAAATTCCAGATATTCTGAACCTATCGGCCTTCCACTTATTCCCCCCCCCACACACACACACACAAATATTGGGCCAGAGGTTAAAAGTCCGCTTGAGAATGGTTTGAAGATTGGATTATGTCTGTGGAGATTCTCAGTTATCCATGCCATGGTTGTCCCAAAGTGCTTTTTCACAAGGCAAGTGGAGCCAGAGGATGCCTTTTTTTTAGTATGAAAGATAAATATGCGGGAAAACTAGTGTTTAAGAAACAATGGCACTCTTTATTGTCTGTTTTGAATGGCTGGTTCTTCCACAGTGAACTTGCAGAGTTGCTCCGCTTCAGCGGAGCAGTTCTTTTTTTCCCTTCTCCTTCTCCTTCTCCTTCCTCCCCCCCCCCCCCCCCCCCTCCTCCTCCTCCTGGCAGTCCAAGAGCATCCAGCTCAGAGGAGCAAAAGAGTTGATTTCCAAAGGCCCCCCTCCTTTTCCCAGGGAGGTTTCTAGAACTGTGGAGAATCTGTAGCAGAGTTCAAGGAATCGGCTACAGCCCAGGAACTTCTGCCAGGAAAAAAAGAGTCCAGATGCCGTTTGAAAAAGCACTTTGGGGGAAGATTGGATTATGTTTACTGTTCATGCTATATTGTGCTGTGCTTTGTCCTTTTGTTTACCTTGTTTTTCAGCCCTATGCCATCCTCTCAGAATCCCTGTTTGTGAGGTAGACAGCCATATAACTAGAATAAATAAACGTAACTGAATTATCCCACATCTAGGTACCTCTCAGAACGGGGTCTCACTGATGGCCGGGGCCCAGCTAGATTTCCTCCGGCCTACGGTCCCGCCGAGCGAGATGTCATCTACAAAACCTTCAGCCTGGATGGGTGGGCTGGGCGGAGCGGCCACGATGCCCCCATGATTGCCTATGATGCCCTCTTGGGTGCCGGGAGCAGCTGGGAGCAGCTCTGTGGACAGTCCATGTTCCATGGTGGTGAGTGGCAACCTCCCCTGTAAAATGCCTGATCCTAGAACTGACTCACGCTGTGCTGTTCCAATCACACACACACACACACACACACACACAGGTGTTATGAGTCCTTATTAAGGCTTCCGAGCCTGAATTAGTATTCCTTTGTGCCAGCACCAGCTCAATCCCGAAGGGTTCCAGAGGCTACTCACAAGAAGCTAACGCTAGTCCTCAAGGCCAAGGCAAGTCCAGTCCACCAGGGAAAAACAAATCCCTAAGGCGAGGACAAAACAAAGCAAGTCCCCGGGGCAAAGACAAGGCCAAGGCAAATCCCCGGGGCAGAGGGCATGGCAAGAACACACAGCAAGGAAATAGACGTGTTGTTCCCAGCATCATTTCATTCCCCTTACTGAGCTAAATAACTGCTCCTGGTGCAGTTTTTTTTTTCCGTCAAGAGCGGAAGGCTGCCTCCTCATGAGTAACCTAGATGACCTTTGTGCCTGCCTCCTCTTAGCCCTATGTGTTATCTGATCTAGAGGAGGAGGTAGTTCTTCTTAATCTCCACTAACCAGTTGGGTGCCCTCTCTACCCAAAGCCTCTGGGCTTCCTATCTGCAGCTATGCCTCTCCTGTCTCTAATTCAGCCGGCTGCTTGCTTGTCCGGCTATTCCCGTGTTTAGCCCCTCCACTCCTGACTCATGGCTCTCTGCTGCTAGCTCATCCTTGTCTGAACTAGCATCTGGAGAGGCGTCTGGGGAAGCATCCAGGGAATGCATCACAGCCACTCATAATCTTTTCTTTTTTCTGTATGTTTCTCTTGTCCTCCAGGGGACAGTGACTCCACAGGGGTGATCGCAGCTTGCTGCTGGGGCCTTACATACGGTCTCCAAGACATCCCATCTGGAAATCACACGGAACTGGAATACCGAGACAGGATGGTCTCTGCAGCCAACTCTCTCTTTCGCCTGGCATGGGAGCGGAGGTCTGTTTGAGAAGCCGTTCCCATATCTAACATCCTCAATTCCTGGGAAGGCATAAGTTGAAAACTTGCAATGGATTGAAAACTGCTGCTTTCAAAATAAATTGTAGCTGTATTCTGACTCAGTTTTGTGTGCTGGAGGAGGGATCCATGCCAGATTCCCAAGATCCTGTATAGAAGTCTCCACAGGAAAGTGATTAAAAAAAACTTCAAGATGGAACCAGAACCATGTGACTGAAGTCCCACTCTTTTGGGGTGGAGTTTCAACCACATGGTTGTGGCTGCCATTTTGACTCCTTTGACCTGTTCTTTAGGTGAGCTATTTCCTTTCACTTGAAAGATTAGCCATTTAATAAGCAAGAGCGTTGTGATTTCACAGAGGATTGTGCATTATATTCGGTATTTCTGGCAGCAGCTTTTTATTATTTCACATATTTTATAGTTAAGTGGAGCCTCTGGGTGCAAAAATAAGTCCTAGGCTTAAATTCTCAACAGTGGTGGAAGAATCACAGAGTCTCTCCATGAAAGACAAATCACTGTTCATAGAGATCGAGCTGGTCTCCTGCTGAAATGATGGAGGCAGTATTTGCAATCCAGGATAAATACAGGATTGCATGAATGTAGAGTCACCCACCTGTGATGCAAAAGCACAAACTTTGTGCAAAAACCTCACTCACACAGGAGATCTGAATATGAATGTGTTATTCAGTCATGGGCAAAAAAAAAAAAGGGCCACTAAATTAATAGGATTATGGATCTTTTGAAGCTAGGTTCATTCATCAAAGCTGCATTATTTCTTCCAATGATGAGCGTCTGATTTTGTCCTAGGCTTCAGCCTTTCCCAACAGTAACTGCAATACCAGATTCTTATGCAGGGAGTCCTCGCTTACCAACCACTTGTTCAGCAACCAAAATTGCAAGATTGCTGAACAAGAAGTACTTAGGACTGGTCCTCAAAGTTCCGGCCATCGCAGCAACCTCACAGTCCTCTCACTTATGATTTGAGTGCTTAGCAACTGGCTCGCACTTATAACAGTTGCCGTGTCCTGTGGTCACGTGATTTTCCATTTGTGATCTTTCCCCTCAGGTTCCCACAAGCAAAGCCAATGGAGAAATCAGCAGGGAAGGTCACAAATTACTCCATTAAGCCTTCCTGGTTTTCCTGCATTTGCACCCCCCTTGCATCATCCATCTCTTGGCTTTTCTGGTGGGCCACCCCAGTCCTGCCCTGGCTTTCCCCAACTCTCATGCAGCCTTCACCAGCCCTTCCAAGGCCTCCAGTGGCTTTCCTCATCCCTTATACTCCTTACCTGGAACTCCTGGCCATTTCCTACCTAATAACACTGGGCTTACAGTGTCAACCAGCATTGGCAGGCTTGTTGGCACTAAGGGATGCAATCATTTGACATGGTTGTATTGCTTAGTAATGGCAACCCTGGTTCAACTTCCATCTAACCCAGGAACTATCTGAAGTTGGAGAAAATTTGGGGCGAAACCTTTGATTTGGAAATACAGAACATTTCTAGCATAGAATTTGTTCCTACAATGGATCATAACTAAGCAACTGCCTCAAGAAGATGGATCCCAATACCAAAATCCATGGCTCTGAATGGTCTACAGAATATAAGGCTAGGAGCAGTTGGGTCTCCATTCCTATTCTGACATGAGAATGCCAGCAGTGCTCTTAAAAAAAATATTGTAGATATATTTAGGTGCATCATCTTTATTAAAAAGCTAATAATAATGAAGCCTAAAATTCCAGATAACACAGGCCTCTGCATTATAAGGTGATGTTCATATTTTAGCATGGCATCTGTGTTGCTTTTTGAAGTTCAGGAAAGCATGTTTTTTCCATTTTTTAAAATTTTGTTCATTCGTATCTTGCCATTATTATTTTTACTAATAACTCAATAACTGCCTTGAGCTATTTGTAAAAATAATAATGTTAGGATAGAAATATATCTCGCTCCTCTCTCCTTCCATTTTCCCCACAATAAAACCCTGTGAATTGAGTTGGGTGACTGGACCAAAGTCACCCAGATGGCTTTCATACCTAAAGAAGGACAAGAATTCACAGTCTCCCATTTTCTAGCCTGTTGCCTTAACCACTAGATCAAACTGTCTCTCCAGTTTGGCTTTTTAGCCAGAGCCCCCCTTTTTTTAAAAAATGTACCTATTCATGAACTAAACAATAGAGAGTATATTTTAGGGCCCTGGGATGTTGGCAAGTATTAAATAAACAAGCCTGGATGGGAAAGGGAAAGATGCAAAATATTTTAAGGATGTTCTGTCTTTTCTCACATTTAATGTCTTTTAACAGTATTGTTACTTTCTGATGGATCACATATACCTACAGATCATTCATTCTGCATCAGTATTAAGACTTGATACACAAACACACACCCAACAAACACATTTTCACTTTGCTTGAAGTTCTTGTGATATAATGGGGGGGAGCATGAAAAAGCCACTTTGCAAAATTAATGTCTCCCAGATTTAGAGATCAAATTCTTATTATCCATATCAACTTGGATGCCTGAGATTTAAAGGCAGCCCCTGAATTTTTAACACTAGGCTGTTTACCAGACCAAAGAGGTGGCAGGTCCAATCTTATAAACCTGAGTCCAGTCTATAGGATACCTAAGCCAGCCTGTATGGAGTTTGGATAAACTTGCATAACAATGTTCATTGGCGAGGTCTCACTTGTCAGAGTTTACCACTGGACTTTGACTTTGCTTGGATTCTGGCATAGTCAGGGCATTGACTGGCATGAAAAATGTCGAGGCAGCACTAAATGGGCCAAAAGAAGAGAGAGCAGTTGCTGCAAAAAGCTGCTTGAAAGAGTTGGGCAGAAAACAGGAAGTCCCCAGCAGGGAAGATCTATAAGGAATAAATTGTTTACCTCCCCTCTTCAAAACCAGAATGCTTTATGTTCCTGAATCCAAACAGCAGCTTCACCAGAGCTTCCTAATTTTTTTTTTTAATAAAATAAAGCAAAGCTATAAAATGCAACAGTTTTAAAATATTCAATGTCTGCCTTGGTTAAGAAATGGTAAACTCTGAACCTGGTATTTATACAACTTCCCTTTGGATAGCACTATTTATCTTTGCTGTGTTTAGGGGCTCTCTTGTTCATTTTGCCAGTCGTTGTTTCTTCCAAAATCATGTTTAAATGGGACTACTGCAACCACATCTGCTTGAGCATGGGGTAGAAGACATATAAGGTTCCTTCCAATTTTGTTATTCTGTTATTTATATTATATTGTTTCACGTATTCAATGACTTAGCCCCAGGAATGAAATCCTTAACCATTTCAAGGAATCCAGGAGACTTAGTTCCCCTCTGTAGCATTTATGTTCAAATAGATCCCATTTTCCTTGCCAGAGACCCAGGATTACTGGACACACACAAAGGCTCAGCCAAGATGTTTTATTTTGGCACCAAGGCAGGTTTTTTAGGGCAGCCACCCTAGGAGGTGGCTATGAAAAGAGACAAAGAAGAGACTTATAAAGCTTAACCCCCCAAGGCAGGATGGAAACTTAAGGCAGAAATACTGGACGCCTCTTTCCCCCCAGTGGCTTGATTTAGAAAGCTGTTCAGAGGATGATGGAGTTCTCTGAAATCTGGGGTTGTGGGGACCATTTCAAACCCCACATGATCTTCAGAACAGTCACTGTCAATTTAAGATGAAATGTACCACAGACATGGTCAAGCAAAGGTTTGAAGCAGCAAGGCATGTTGCGGTTGCCAACAACAATAATAGATGGGATATCAGCTGCAGAACTAACCCAGTTAGTCACAGTCCCAGGTAACAAGCTGTACAGCTAAGATTTCTTGCATGGAAGATTGCATGTGCTGAGAGTCCCAGAGCATTGGGCACAAGATCAAACCAAAATGTCTCTGCAAAAACAAACCATGATGAGATGTTTGAAACAAACTATGATGAGATGATTGAAGCAAACCATGATGAGATGATTCCAGCAGAACAGTATCTCTGGAGGATCATGCTGAGAAGGGGTTGACATCAGCAGAGCATGATGAAATGGGGCACAGCCAATCAAGTGGGAGTCTCAATGGACAGGCCATGATTCTCTTTGTCCACAGAGAAACAGAAGATGACGGGGAGATGGCAGGCATATCAGGGTGTCTGATTTTGCATGATTCTGACTGATATCCGGGATGCCAGGAAAGATTGGTGAGAGTCATGATGATCAAGGCATTGGTGATGTCCTTCAGGTGGTAGCAAGAGTTTCTTGCAACGACAGAGGAGGGCCTCAAGGTTTTGTTGGAGTCTGTGCAAGATACAGGAAGTTGTTGGAAGTTGCAGCTAGTACTCCACGGCTGCTGATGTGAGTACTATAAACACCTCCAGGCAGGTCATTAAGTGCCCCTGTGCTCTGGAAAAAAAAAGAAGAAAATTGAGCATGCTGGCTGAGGAATTCTGTGAGTTGAAGTCCACATATCTTCAAGTTGCCAAGCTCGAAAAACACCGGCTTAATATATTTTTCTTCTATCTCACCTTATCCTCCCTTACAAACTAATCCTTCACTTAGTCTTATAATGGAAAGATCATAAATTGATTCCTTCGCCTCATAAATCCATCAAGCTCAATATTCTGTTTCCGACATTGCATAAACATTCCCTGCCATTCCCTGTTGCTGTCTCCAATATTTTTAATTTGAAGATTCATAATCCCCACCATCCCCGTTTTTCTTTGATTGACAAGTTCTCTACTGAACAAAAGAAAGAGGGCAGAAATCAGCTGCTACCCCCACTTTCTGTTTCTTTTCTTTGGAGTTTGAAGATCATATATAGTATTTTAGGTTGGTGCCTTGGCGTGCATATCTTTGAACGAGACAGGCCGAGACAAGAAGATCATTTAATTACAATTTATTCAGAACATTGTGATTAAAGGGGAATCCACTCATTCAAAGAGGGAACCCAGATCCTTAGCTTACATTCCATTTTATAATTAATACATCAAAAAAAATGCAAGAGAAAAGCTGATTGGACAGGATGAAAGTAACCTCTTCTTTGTACAGTAAATTAGCTACATGTAGTCAAACGTGTTACATGTATGTCCATTTAAAAAAGGTCTGACAACAAAAAGGGTGTAAAATTTAAGATGTTAATGAGAAAAAAGGTTGTTTGGAGTTCACGAAGAGACAAATTAAATACCAATTAGCATTAACAAATTCCAAATCTCCTTTTAAATCAAATATAATCCCATCCTATCCTGATCTGAGGAATTTATCTTTTCAGTTTAGGAACATTAGAAGCTATCAATCTATTCATCTAGCAATAGGGTAAAAAAAATTCCAGTCTGTAATGGTTTGATAAACCCTTATCACAATTTTAAAAGAGAGAAAAATAAATGAAATTAAAATGCAATATAACTATGTTAGTTAATAAGTATATCAATAAAACAAAGTCCATGAGGTTGGTACCCCAAAGTCCATTTTGTATGGCACTCATGTTCCTGGAGACTAAACATGGGGTGCAAAATACCTGCCCTATTACAAGGCCACGCCCTTTCCTGCGTGGTTAGCAAAGCTACCTTACCATGAGAATTCTTCTGTCAATAAGTCGACACAAGTTGTTCCGGCTCCCACCAGCTATGATGTAGTCAGTGCCAAGGAAGTGGCAAGTATATAACTGAGGGGAAAGCAAGAGAAGGTCCCTTCATTAAACAAATATAAAAGAACCCTAAATAAATTATCCTTTTTTTTTTTTTTTTGCCAAGAATGATTAGCTTTCAGTTGGCAAATGTGCATCGTTAAAATCACACTAAGACACAGAAACTAAATAAGTGAACAAGACTACACGATGGGGCAACAGACAGAGAAATCATGGCTGCTGAAATCATGGCAAATAAAACTGAGGCAAATCAAACTTTTACTCCCCAATCCTGGAAAAGAGTTTTCTTGCAAATATCTCCAACCCTCTTGATATTGCAGGACTGAGAACCAGCAGCAGAAAATATAATCCCACACGACTCAATTGAAAGATTATGGTATAAAACAATCATGCCGATCCCAGTGGTTTATCAACATGCTGGGTACGATACTCAAAAATATTGCATGGCACTTAGAAAATCGGCGCATTGGCAAATTTTCCATCTGTCAATTGCAAAAGGCGATACTGCTTGGAGCCGCTACTATGGTATGTACTATAGACTATATCGATACATTATAATGCCCTAGGTTCATGGGAAAAACTCGATAAGTAAGCAGCTAAAACCGGCTAAAGAGCTGGCAGCTATGATTTCACGTTGTCGCACATACTACAATAATAAAATTCGGCGGAAGAGAAAAATTGATTGGATAGTGACAATTTATCCTTCCTAATTTCTCCAGGAAATAAGCTCAGGATGGAAAGCCATCAAGCCACTAATTCCCATTACAAGAGCTACAAGGGCTGCTGAAGTCCAAAAGCCAGGAGAAAGGATAAGGGGACAGTTCCCTCCAAAGAGGAGATGAAAGAGCTCCAGATTCAGAGCACTTTGTCTTGCACCACAGCTGAGCCAAAAGGAACAGTCTTGTTGAAGAAAGGTGATGGTGTCAGATCACAGGGTTGAAGAGGTTTAAGGTGGAAATATTAAATCCAAGTGGATTTTGCAATGAGAAGATAAGAGAAGGGGTTCCCTGCATGTTTAAATTTGGTGGTTGAACAGCTATTTTCAGAAAGAAGCCCTAGTATGATGGGTTACATTCATCCTTCTCCATGTTGTTTAGAGTTTATGGGAAATGGTCCAACATTTCTGGAGGAAACCAGGCTTCAGGGAATGTTGGCTTTGTCTGAGTTTTGGGAATACTGAAAAATAGTTTTTCAACCTGTGAGTGACCCCGAAAATCTTCTGGAATGTCCATTATCTTGCCACATGTTTCAGCATCCCAAATCTAGGATAGAGGCAAAAAAAATATTTATTTGTATTTTATTAGCTGGGTCATAGATTGTGTTTTCCAGATTTAAGGTATGGTTTCTCAGAGAAACCTTTTGTGGGTGAAGATTCATTCTCTGAGCTTGTGGGTTGATTTCCGAATATTTCGTTTCTAGGCTGGGTAACGGGTGGGATTCTACCAGTTTGCACCTATTCGCTAGAACCAGTTGTTAAAAGAAATTATTGGACTAATCCTGTAAGGAAGGCAGGAAGGAAACATTCTGGTGTTGCTTACAGAAACTGCCTCTCCGTTAACCCTTATTACATTCTTGGCAAGACTAGACTTCCTGTCTCAGGAACTTCTCTGGAGTTTTTTCCACTCCTTTGTTGGTACTTTGCTTGTGTGGAGTGACCATTCAAAGTTACAATGGCACTGAAAAAAGTGACTTATGACCATTTTTCCACACTTACAACTGTTGCAGCGTCCCCACAGTCATGAGAAGCCAGGCGAGGAGATGCGTGCCTCGATGTGAGTGATGTTGAGTTGGCCACACCCAGCCAATAACATGACCACCAAGCCATGTCCACCCAGTCACATGACCACCAAGCCACACCCACCACCTAAGCCATGCCCACAGAACTGGTTGTTAAAAATTTGAATCCCACCCCTGCTAGGTAACATCTTCAGTGGAATTTAGGAGATGTCAGTGTCAATGTTCCTCTGTTTATAAGGGCTTAGTGTGGTCAGTAGATCTTGTGATGGTGAGGGTTATATTAGGTGAGAGTTATATTAGGTGAGGGCTTGTGATGGGTCAGGTGTGGGTCAGCTCAAGTGAAACATTCAGAAACCAACCCACAAGCTCAGAGAATGAACCTTCAGCCTCATCCTTCATCCAAGCTACAGATATTCACCCCTATTGCAAACCTGTTTACCTTTTTACCTATAATGCTAAGCGATGAATCATGTCTGACAAAGCAAGATGGCAGGTTTTCACATCTTACCAATCTTAGTGTGATATTTAAATCCAATGAATGTCTTGCTCATTCATGAATTTTATAGAGCTTATAGAATTACCTGAAATGTGTATAAATATATGATACTTCTGTTGTTTAAAGGACATTTGAATGATTCATATTATATCACGTCTCATTTATCTTAAGCATTAGAGTAAAACTGGAGCTCTTGCATATATTTTTTACCATATAATGCAACAATGGAAAAGTGATCTGGGAGTATTCCCTGCAAATTTGTTTCACTCTGCACAAGGAAATCTACTCTATCCTCCCAAATTTTATAAATGAGAATAAAAATTTGGCCTATTTCCAAATGAATATCTTAAAACAATAACCAATGCAGAATTGCAATGACATTGTGACATTGCACACCAACAACAAGGTTGCATTTTCCCCATGTATATATTTTGCATTCCATCCAGAGTTGTAGATTTGATAAAGCTGTTGTAAATTAGAAAGGTAGTGTCTGATTTCTCTATAATATTTGAAAATCAACACATTATTTGCAGTAACTTTTGCATTGAGCACTATTTTTTTCCAGGAGTCCTCAACTTATGACCACAATTGAGACCAAAATTCCCATTGTTAAATAAGGTGGTTGTTCAATTGTGTCTGATTTCACAACTTTTTTTGCCAGAGTTGTTAAGTGAATCACCAGGGTTGCTAAATGAATCATGCAGTCATTAAGCGAATCACTTCCCTCATTGATCTAGCTTGTTGGAAATTGACTGGGAAGGGTGCAAATAGCAATCAAGTGATCCCAGGATATTGCAACCCTTATAAATATATGCCTGTTGATCACTGATTTATTGAACTTGTGCTCAATAGGCACATAGAGATAAACAACAGCTACATTCCACTCAAAAGAGACAATCAAAAAACCAAAAAGACCAAAACATTTCCCCATCAACAGTCCATACCCAGATTAATACCAAGATAAGGAGCCGTGGTATTGCAGTGGTTAGAATATAACATTATAGGCTAATTCTGACTGCCAGCAGTTCGATTCTCACCAGCTCAAGGTTGACTCAGCCTTCCATCCTTCTGAGGTCGGTAAATTGATGACCCAGATTGTTGTGGGCAATATGTTGACTCTGTAAACCACTTAGAGAGGGCTGTAAAGCACTGTGAAGTGGTATAGAAGTCTAAGTGCTATTGCTATTGCTATTAATACTAGACCAACAATCAAGAAGTATACAATACCCCAATCAGGGAACCACAAACTCTGGCAAACAAGCTAACAATCTAATTGAGGAACCATCAAGACTACTCTCAGAAACACTGACAGGGCAAGCCATTAGTAGATAAACAGAGCAAACCCACTTCCTCTAGCACTGTTGATGTTACTTAGGCAACAACCATGCTCAGAGAGCACTAACGACCCCACAAATCAACCCTGAGCTACAAATAATTTCTTATATCTAGATCATGGTTCTGTGTCAATGGAACCAAATGGCTTAATCCAAATGATCTCCAAAACCTCTAGATCAGGGGTCTCCAACCTTGGC